TCTTCTTCTTGCTTTACGGCAGATCGCAGGCTTATAAGTGCATTACCGCCACCTATCTCTCAAATGCACCATCGACACTCTATCTACAATCTCAATTAGGAGTGTCAATGGTCCATTTGAGAGATAGGTGGCGGTAATGCACTTATAAGTCTGCGATCTGCCGTATAGCAAGAAGAAGAAGAAGACGCGAACGCACTCAGGACAGTTCGGACATTGCAGTAAATCAGAGGTAAAAAACTACATAAATACTGTTCAGTTTCTTGCGCAGACCGATCGCTTCGTGTCTTTAGACATCAATGTATCGTCACGAGCCGCAGGGTTTAATTTGGTTTTGTTTGTGTATGTTTTTTTGACTCTCAAAGCCGTGATTCCCATTCACTTAAATTATATGACTGACAGACTGCAACGGTTTGAGTTAAAAATCTTTGTTTGTGTTCTACTGAAGAAACAAAGTCACCTACATCTTGGATGCCCTGGGGGTAAGCAGATAAACATAAAATTTTCATTTTTGGGTGAACTATCCCTTTGATTTAAAAAACGATTTCATTTCTGATCTGTGTTGATGAAGGAGTAATTGAAGCCTGTGAATAGGGCTGTGAGGGTGTATAAGACAAAAAAGGTTGGAAAAAGGATTTGGATCAGGCATATACAGTAATATGGAGGCACTGTGCAAAGTCACAATTGTGCTTATGGGTATTTTTTCAGCCGCTATATGGCAATTATATCTGAGTTAATCTGCAAAAAGGCACATTTACTTTGTGACCGTTGAGTCAGGATCTGTGAGCATTTGCTGTCACAGCAAGAGCTGGACTAGGCTGATCTTGTGGAATTCTGAGTAAAGCTCATATCATATCTATTTGATATGCAAAAAGAAAAAAGACTAGTCATATCCGGTCCATTAAATAATATTAGTTTTTTTAAACTATGTACTAGGAAATTAGTTAATTAAAAATTAACTCAAATTATAAAAAAATGAATTGATGCAAAAATTATTGAAATTAATTCTTATCTAAATGATTATTAAATGTTTGTTGTTGTTGTTAGTTCATGTAAACTAATGAAGTTAACTAAGGTAACGCTACAAAATAAAGCTACAATTATATATAAAATGACCAAAACATACTGTAATAAACACAATAATAAATGTGTCCTGAAATGTTTCTCTTTTCTCTCTCAGAATTTCTTGTAACCCTCCACTGTATCTGTCACATAAATCATCAAAAGCCCAAAAATAAAATAAAAGTACTGTAAATCTATAATAAATTGGCTATTAAAAAACAGAAAACTGTTCTGACATGCCCATGAAATCGACCACATACAGGTGTGAAATTTTATTTCACACAGGGATATTTGGAGAAAGATTTAGGGTCTAAAAGTGTCTTGTGGATAAAAGAGCCACACAAGAGTGACAGGAGCTGAAATATCCACAGTGATTCAAAGCACACAGTGATTTAAAGCACTCCTCTCCCTCACTCTTCACGTTTCTCTCCTGCTCACTCTCCATTTCTCTTTCTGTCACTGCATGTGTGTACACACACACACACACACACACACATTCTAAGACTCTCCCTCACTAATAAAACTGTCACAGACGTAATTGTATGGTATATTTTGGAAACGATTTCCCCTAACTGAAATCTTAAGCATAATAGAAATTTCTATTGACTTGTAATCCTTCCCTGGGAACCTTTACGTGTGTGTGTGTGTGTGTGTGTGTGTGTGTGCACAGGTGCGTTATACTCTGGCAAACATACCTGATTCATCCTGATTAGAATGAATAGAGAAATGCCTGCGTGTGCCGCTCACGCTGAGAAAATCACAGCCCTTGCACCCCTCATTCTCTCCCTGTCTCTCTCACACCAGAGGTCTGTGTGTGTGTGTGTGTGTGTGTGTGTGCACAGGTGCGTTATACTCTGGCAAACATACCTGATTCATCCTGATTAGAATGAATAGATAAATGCCTGCGTGTGCCGCTCACGCTGAGAAAATCACAGCCCTCGCGCCACCCCTCCTTCTCTCACTGTCTCTCTCAAACCAGAGGACGATTTTATCACTCAAGTGTTTCTTTCATAGCTCAGTAGATTTAAAGTCAACATGCACTTTCCTAATATACACTCTTGGTCTTACTATGAACATTTCATCATCATGTTATTTCCTTAAAAAAAAAATTGTACCTTAATCTTTCAGCAAAATGTTTCATCACTAAAATGACTTTCCTAGGTTAATAATGTGAACCAAAAGTCAAATAACTACTTAACCTTTTCTAAAATCATGTCAAAAGTTAAAGCATTAATTTAACAATGGTTAACATTAATTCAAAACATATTACGGCAATAACAGCAACGGATGAAAAGGAGCGACAACCTGGGTATATGGCTCCAAATCCAGGCCAAAAATTGGTTGTAAGCCATGTTTCAAGGTCATTATCCATCGAATGTAAATGTGACGAGTGGGGGCGGGGCCGAGAGCCATGGGAATGGAGCAAGGCCGGTGGAGTAATTGATAATAATGAGCGACACCTGCACCACTCACCGGTCTCGAGTCCCACGGAGGAGCCATTTCATCATGTTATTTCCTTAAAAAAAAAATTGTACCTTAATCTTTCAGCAAAATGTTTCATCACTAAAATGACTTTCCTAGGTTAATAATGTGAACCAAAAGTCAAATAACTACTTAACCTTTTCTAAAATCATGTCAAAAGTTAAAGCATTAATTTAACAATGGTTAACATTAATTCAAAACATATTACGGCAATAACAGCAACGGATGAAAAGGAGCGACAACCTGGGTATATGGCTCCAAATCCAGGCCAAAAATTGGTTGTAAGCCATGTTTCAAGGTCATTATCCATCGAATGTAAATGTGACGAGTGGGGGCGGGGCCGAGAGCCGTGGGAATGGAGCAAGGCTGGTGGAGTAATTGATAATAATGAGCGACACCTGCACCACTCACCGGTCTCGAGTCCCACAGAGGAGCTCCGGAAGGATAAAAGGAGGAGTGACGACAGTGAAAGACGAGAGAGGACCAGGCCTGGACTTTATTTTGTGTTTTGTGTGCGGCAGTCGTCCGCGAGGGGCTGCCGCTTTACTTTCATTTTGTGTTTGTTTATTTTATTAAAATCTTAAATGTTTGCCGGTTCCCGCCTCCTTCTTCCCGTGACTACGAACTGTGTTACAGTAAACTCATATTCAAGTCTGGCTCTATTGTAGTATGGAATGCTCACTTTTCACAATTCAGTCAAGATGGATTTAATTTAAGCATTGTCCATTTATGTTTCATTTATGTATCAACTTA